GACACAGTCTTGGAAACAACTAGAAACAAAAACAGAAATTGCTGGAAAAGCTCAGCAGATCTGGCAGCATCTGTGGAAAGAAATCAGAGTTAACGTTTTGGGTTGAGTGACCCTTCATAAAAACATGTTTAAACTAGATTTCCTTTAATACTACAATGTATAGGTTTTAAGCATCCATTATAGGCTCCAACTTCCACTCCACGTGTCAAATAGCCATGGTATTGTTATTCTAGTACAACATTCATTCATCCTCATTAATACAACTGGAATAGTAGCACCATTTTGATTGGCACAGCGTAAATACAGCTTTGGTATGACAGCAGTGCTTCATTTCCATCTATAACATGTTGCTAGAGACACGCAGAATCCAACTCTATACCCAACAGCTGGATATCATACAAGGTATTTGGTGGGACAAATCCAGCACATTTTGGCCTATTGCTACACAAAGGATAAGAAAGTATATGTTTTCTCCAGTCATTGGAGTGAAACTGCTTGAGTTCTGTATCCATTTGTAACAGTTAATAGCTGTCACTAATAGGTGACCTTCTTCTTAGCCAGTATGCTGGATTTATAGCAGTAGCCTAGAAATTCCTGCCAGTCAAAAAGTATTTTCTTCAGAAGGAAATCTGTAGGTAGGGCAGGTTACTGCGTGTGTGAGTGGGCATGATTGTTCATATATTTGTCAATGATAAACCACAATTAGCTTTCTATCTACCTCATACCTCAGGCTGTGTTCCTGATGTTACCCTGTCAAATGCTCTGAAACAAACAATATGCAAGCATTTGATTACCAAACTAAATTAGGCAAATAATGGGCCCCTATGATTCCAGTTTACTTGACTCTTGCTTGTGTTTAAAGCAAATGAGTGAGGTGACTAACTGTTGGGAAGGAGTCTTTCACAACTGCATTGCTCACTTACTTTACCATTGAGATGCTGGTTCAATCTGAGTCATGAGGTAGATTTTCATTCATACCTGCAAAATAGCAAAGGAGGGTAATGTGTAAAAATGCTTCCTGCAAGATACCCCATTAATTGTGCTCGCATGTAATATGTGATGGATTTGGGCTTGAGCTCATATCCCTTTCTTATAAAGAGAGATTCTTGAGCTTACATTCATTTTGAATATAAGAGTGGTGAGGTTATGATGGAAGCGTGTAAGTCATTAGTTAAAACTAAAGATGCCATTGTCTGGGAGGGCCATAGGGTTGCTCTCCCCTTAGAGAGAGATGACTGGTGATGGTTTAACCTGAGGGCCATCACTCCTCAGGCTACAGCTGAGGTTTAGAAGGCGTGCCTTCATAGTAACCTCTGCCAGTACAGGAATTGCCGCAGCTACAGCACTATGTGCAGGTATCATCGCCACTCTATACAAAACATGTCCTGTGGCACCAGAAAGGGTACAGAGGAGAATGTTGTCTGGGCCAGAATGATTCAGCTATGAAGAGAGATTAGATGTGCTGGGCTGCTTTTCCTTAAAGCAAAAAAGGCTAAGGGGGGATCAGATTGAGGCATACCAAATTATGAGGGGCATAGATAAGAAGAAACCATTCCCCTTAGTAGCGGAATCAAATAACAAGTGTGCATTGATTTAAAGTAAAGGACAAGAGATTCAGAGGGAAATTAAGAAATTCTTTTTTCACCCAGTGGGTGGTGGGTATCTCAAACTCACTGACTGAAAGGATGGTAGAGACAGGAAGCATCATGACAGTTTCGTAGTATTTGCTGCCCTTGTATTAATCAAGGATCTGCAAATTGCATTTCCAATCTCACAGGCTCCAAACCTGCAATTTACGGAGGTTAATCTGTTGTTAATCATCACTCAGTGGATTAGGCAATTCCTCCATCCATGGCAGGGTTTGCAAAATTCCACACTGTCCCAGAGGTGTTGGAACTCTATAAGACTAAATTTGGATTTGCGGTTTTAAAAGTGTGCCCATAGCAGGTGGTGATCTTGTGGGCCAATTACAAATATGGCCTGGTCAGACTTATCAACAGGCTGTGATGCTTTAGGCAACTGTCAACTTAGAAAATGTAATACCATTTTCATCCATTCTGAAGCTGCCATCACCATATCAAATGATGTTTAGAAAAAAAGCGTTATTCAGAATCAAATTTATAGCAATTTAAATTGCCATTAAACAGAGCATAATACAACACTTCAGATCTGAGTTAGTTGATGAGACAGAAGACAAAGTGTCTTTCTTTGTGGAAAGAGTTTGTTATCTCTATTTTCCTGTGATCATATTCACTCCCAGGTCAAATTTTCAAAAACACACACAGTTCGTTTTCTGGCCTTCTCCATCTTTACCTTAAAATAGTGATCCATGAATCTTGACTCCTATCCCTCATCTTACATATTTAGCCAATATTTGCTTTGCCTCTGGCATTTCCTGCTCTCCCTATAATAGTTGCATTCTTTCATTACCTAACTCCTTCTGGCATATGTGTTACTTTGGTGGCAACCTTTGGTTGTCCTGTGGGGCAAGTAGCCTTGTCCCTCATTCTTGAACCACTTTGGCTATAATTCATTCAGTCCTTCATCTACCAATCTGATGCTCATAATTGTCCAATGTATGTATAAGCACAACATATGGTGCCTCATTACTTTCTAAGATGTGGTTGGATTCAATAAGTAGTGCCAATTAACCTTGAGTAATGCACCCTGCTTCCTTACCATGCTGTAATATTACTGTTTTTCTATTACTACCTAAAACCTTACCCAAACCTTTCAATTCTTTCTGCTGTTATCTTTTGCAATATACAATGTCCCCTAGATTAAAATTTATTTCTAATGAACTACACAGTTCCCTCAGAATTTTCTCTGGAACCTTAGCCATTAATAATAAATGCCCATCTTCCTGCTTTCAGGACATGCAAGTATTCAGAAAAAGTGGAGCCAATTATAATCCCTTCCCAAATTGATTAATGATCACCCATTACTGATAGAATTCCTGGATTTCTCCCAAATGACAATTGATATGGATTGTTGTCGCCAACCATTTATATTGAGTTTTTGACGTGCACTGTCCATGCAATGCAGATTTAATTTACAATTTTAGTTTGCTAGGATTTTGTAAAACAGCTCCTCTATTATCATGTGACTTATTTCACACAGTCCATCGCTAAAGGCACTTTCTGCTGCCATGTTCATGACCACAATGTTAGTACTTTCATACATATCCCAAAATTCATTGTTGTCAAATTTCCTCTCCCCTACCTCATGTCAGTTAAGAATTTAGCCAGTGTGGTCTATGTAGTCCCTATCCATTTCTTTATCATCTTGTCCACTGTCGCTGTCTTTTTCTCTTTACCATTATAATATTGACAACTGAATAGATACAGTTGCCGTGTCTATGAATTGCAAGGTGACTTTTTTTTACCCTGGACCGTGCCTTGAAGTCTATTGTTACAATTTTGCTAAAGTCTATTTTTAATGGGAGACATGTTACATTTCGCACCAAGCTATTTTAAAGCTATGTTGTGTGCATTGTCCTGTATTTCTGAATCCGTTGGTAGGATTTTTAAACCTGTGAAAAGATGGATAGGTAAATTGCTGATGTAATTTTAAGATAATTGGCATTTTTTCCCTTAAATATTTATTTCATGATGTCAGCAACACCTTTAAAATTTTCAGAAGAGAAATTAGGTCTTGTTAAATTAATACAATCATATATGGATTGTGCAATGATAAAGACACTGACTTCCTGAAAACATGTTGTCTTGTCATGTACCCTATCTAGTTTCATTTGAGCCTTTTTTATAGACTGTGCAGATCAATTAGTTGACCATACAGGGTATTGCCACTTTTTTATTTAGTGATTTCAGCATATTGTCAACCCAAAACCTGAAGCAGGTAGAAATTTCAAATATCTTAAACTTCCTTCTTTTTTGTTTCCAAGATTTTTTAAATAACATTCAACCAAACCACATCACTCACTGCCCATGCAACCACTATCCAACTCAGCACAATTGAATCATTGCTGGGCTGAAGCTTCTTGTAAGTAATAGAATTCTCCTTGCCTGATCAATGTCATCGTTATCTCCTTCTGAACATTCAATCTCAGCATAATTTTCATTTAATTGTTATTTCATTTTGGACTATCCATTGCATAGCACTTTCCGTTCTCCTTGTGGTGGCATCTAGTTGTTCCACATTGACCTTTATTCATATTTTTTTTGGTTACACTTTTTATAGTTTGAATATCCTAAATCCTGTATTTGGTGTCGAGTTGAAAGTCATTCAGCCCTTAGGTATAATGATTGGTACAAGTCAAGGTGAGGCTTTACTTTTAAAACATCTGTGCTGTGCATACACTTGACCTCCTGTGGTCCGGCAGAGCCCCAGCCCTGTAACACCAACCTCCCCTTGCCAATTGTCTGCTAAGCCCATATGACTTGGGTCAGAAGCAGGCCATTCAGCTCATCAAGTATGCTGTGCCATTCAATGAGATCATGGCTGATCTGATAATCTTCAACACTACTTTCCTGTTTTTTCTGCATACCTTTTGATTCCCTTACTGATTGAAAATCTGCCTATCTACTATTTGCTATATTAACATAATAGGTTGATAACTTCGAGCCAGTGCTAAATTATAGATAAAATAATTTCATTTCTTAAGTTGCACTTAGAAATGTTATTTGTTGATGGAATAATGTCTTTTCACTTCATTGCTTCTAATATGATCAACAAACTAAACACAGCATCTGTGAGACTTGATATTTTGTGTAATATAAGGATATATGACTTTAAGCTCATTAAATGCTTTTTTCAAGGAATAATGGAGTTTAGAGTATCCATTAATTAAAAATGGGAACGCAATTGTAGGGCTCCATTGATAACAATTAGATATTAATGTTAGTTATCCTATTGTTACAAGTTATATAATTTTTCACACTTACATTGTGATTTCTTATAATCCATTTTTAAAAAAACTGTTTGAAACATGAAAGCAAAGATTCTAATTATAATCACATTTTATTCTCTCCTATGAAAAGATCTTCCATATGACCTATGACCTTGCCAGTGCAGTCATGCGAATATTTAACCTTATTGGAATGATGCTTCTTTTATGCCACTGGGATGGATGCCTGCAATTTCTTGTGCCATTGCTTCAAGATTTTCCAAATGATTGCTGGGTTTCTTTAAATAACATGGTGGTACGTACCAAATTACTATTCTCTAGTATAAGGCATTATTTCTTAATCATTGTCATGGAATGTTTTTGTTTCTCTTATTTCTTTCATATAATGCAATTTACCAACATGACAATGTGAGGTAATTTATCTAGATCGATATAAGTGAAGTGACAGAGGTCTTGTGGTGCAGTGGATGAGTTCAAGTCAAATCCCAGGACTTCATAGCCATGGAAGTTGCATTCAGCACATACAGGTGATAGGAAAGGGAGTGATTCCTAGTCAGCCATGTGCTAGAAAGAAACTGGCATCTCTACCATCACTACCCATAGCTCCCAGCTACGACATGTAGAAGTGCATGCTGCCATAGCAACTAGGATTCCCCGAATGATCTGTATACACCACACAATGCAAAGTCATATAAAACCTTAGCTAAAACATTTCCATTCCTGAAGGAGTTTAGCAATTATCCAGATCAATTAAAGTGCCCAAGTCCATAAATGCCAATTCAACTATTGTCTACAAAGGTGACATTGTGCTGCATTAGAATACCCTGCTAACGTTTTGATGTGACCCACATTGTAACATCCATAGAAACATAGAAGACAGGAGCAGAAGGAGGCCATTCGGCTCTGCGAGCCTGGTCGACCATTCTTCACGATCATGGCTGATCGTCCAACTCAGTAGCCTGATCCTGCTTTCCCCCCATAACCTTTGGTCGCATTCGCCCCAAGTGCTATATCTAGTTGCCTCTTGAATACATTCAGTGTTTTGGCATCAACTGCTTCCTGTGGTAATGAATTTCACAGGTTCACCACTCTTCAGCTGGTGAAATGTCTCCTCATCTCTGTCCTAATTCGTCTACCCCAAATCCTCATACTGTGACCCGCTGGTTCTGGACACACCCTATCTAGCCCTGTTAGAATTTTTTAAGTCCCTATGAGATCCCCCCTCATTCTTCTAAACTTCAGCAAAAACAATTCTAATATGGTCAAACTCTACTCATACATCAGACATGCCATCCCCAGAATCAGCCTGGTAAATCCTGCTGCATTCCCTTGAGAGCAAGAACATCCTTCCTCAGAAAAGAAGACCAAAACTGCACACAATATTTTAGGGGTGGCCTCACCAAGGCCTTGTACAACTGCCACACACATCCCTGCTCCTGTATCGAAACCTCTCGCAATGCAGGTCAACATACCATTTGCCTTCTTTACTGCCTGCTGCACCTGCATGCTTACCTTCAGTGATTGGTGCACAAGGACACCCAGGTGCTGCTGCACACTCCCCTCTCCCAATTTACAGCCATTCAGGTAGTAATCTGCCTTCTTGTCTTTGCTTCCGAAGTGAATAACCTCACATTTATTCAAATTATACTGCATCTGCCATTGATTAAGTGAATAGTTGGGGTCCTAGCACTTATCCCTATGGCACCCCACTAGTTACTGCCTGCCAATTTGAAAAGGACCCATGAATTCCTACTCTTTGTTTCCTCTCTGCCAACCAGTTTCCTATCCATCTCAATACACTTCCCCCAATCCCATGCGCTTTAATCTTACACATTAATCTGTTATGTGGGACTTTGTCAAATGCTTTCTGAAAGTCCAAAAATACTACATTGACTGACTCCTCCTCAACTCTACTGGTTAGATCTTCATAGAATTCCAACAGATTTGTCAAGCATGATTTCCCCTTCATAAATTTATACTGGCTCTGTCTGATCCTGCCACTGCTTTCTAAATGCTCTGCTATAAAATCCTTGGCAATGGATTCGAGAATTTTCCCCACTACCGATGTTAGGCTCACCAGTCTATAATTCTCTGTTTTCTCTCTACCTTCCTTTAAGAAAATTTGAGTGACATTAGCCACCCTCCAAACTGCAGGGACTGTTCCACAGTCTATAGAATCTTGGAAGATGACCACAAATGCATCCACTATTTCTAGAGCTACTTCCTTAAGTACTTTGGGATGTAGATTATCAGGCCCTGGGAATTTATCAACCTTCAATCCCAACAATTTTCCCAGCACTATTTCTTCACTAATATTGATCTCCCTCAGCACTTCCCTCTCACTAAATCTTGCCTCCTCCAACAATTCTGGTATCTGATTTGTGTCCTCTTTTGTGAAGACAGAACCAAAGTATGTATTTAGATATAGTTCTTCTGGTTAAAGGGATGAAAGAGTGTAGGGAGAAAGCAGGAGTAGGGTATTGAGATGGATGATCAGCCATGTTCATATTAAATGGAGGAGCAGGGTTGAAAGGCCAGATGGCCTTCTCCTGTTCCTACTTTTCTATGTTTCTTAATTGGAGAGAAACGTATGCAGGGCAATGTGTTAGTATTTGTGCTCATTTGAGGAGAGCAGAGCACAACGTTGCGCACTGAGTGCTAGCCTATTGGTGTCTCCTCATCATCACCGGTACAGTCCTGGTGTTCTCTAGGCAGCTCAATGGCCCTTTCCTCAAAGGAAGTGAGGAACTTGATGTCACCACACTCCTGGTCAGTCTTGGCCTGGTTATGGGCCAGTTTTTCTCCTACAGTAAAATGAGAGAGGAATCAAGTTTAATGGAAATGTGTGTCACAGCATTCTGTGAGCAAACTGTAGCACTGCCAGGTGGTAAGGCATCATCAGTGAGTGCGCAGGAAGCACAGAGATCTGGGTGAGCTAATAATTTAAGGGGACGAGGTGGGTGGGACCCATTGAGTGGACAATATGTGATACTGAGGCATGCAGACTAAGATTGTTTATGAGAGTGGCAGGGTGAGACAGAGATGATCCTGTGAGTTTGAGGTAGCAGAAAGAAGATGGTACCAGTTGCAGATCAGGTGATCATTGATTTGATTTCTGGCACTGTTTGCTTTCCCTTTTCAAAGACACTCACCTGTGTTGCCATCTATGCCCAGACTGGACAGGTCTGATGCCAAGCATCTTTATTCTACTCACTGGAAAGAGGATAATCCCATCCTTCTGTGATCCTGTCTAGCAACTTCAGCAGGGCATGTTGTGTGCAGTGGGGAGCAGCTAATGGTTTTCTTTTGTTGGAATCTCTTGTGTTGGAGGAGTGACCATTAAGGCTAAATGGAAGGTCCTGGCTTGCAGCACCTGAAGTGGCATCCAGTTGGCCAGTAAATATGGTGTCAGATCTTTTGAACCCAGAAGGTTCCACTAGTGGCAAGAACCTCAAGTCCTATACAATTCACCAAGTAACTCAAGCATCATGTCACATGCATTGATGCAAAGCATGTGTTTGGGTGTGAATATATGCCCTGGGATATGGTGGATGGGAGGCCATTCAATGCACTCAACACCATACTTGAGCTTCAAAAAGGAAAACTCCACTTCATGAAGCCAAGTGTCCAGCCTCAGTGCTGTCCAGTTCTACAATTTGATGATCAATGAACCATATTTTGTTCTGTGTTAATCCAGTGTCCCTTTTGTTGTACAGTCTCTTTTGGCTTTCTTGTCACTATATCATGTCTCACTTCTATTGAAATGAGTTCCTTATTCTCAAAATAAAATATTAATGAGCTGTTCATGTTTCATCATTTCCTGAAGAATAGAAAGTGTATGTGAAGAGGCAGTTAATGTTTCATATATTACAAATAGCTACAGGAAGGTAATAATGTATTTTATAGCCATCTTCTGTCAAATATTTCTGTCAAACTTAATTATAGACAAGTATATTCTTGTTGTATTTCTTGCAACTGGAAGTTGTGGACAATATTAAGCTTTAATTTAAATTGTGTTCTTTTCTATTGGAATATATTTTTTCATTAAAATACAAGTCAGAGTGCCTGTGTATTCTAACTTAAAAATACCTCTCACAGCCATGCTGAAAGTATTCTTAGCATTTTCTTTAGGGTATGTTTTGAAGAGACCGATTTTTTAAAAAAAAGATCCTTCACCCACACAGAAAATGCTGTGAATTTAGTTAATTCTCCATAATTAAAGTAATTTGAAAATGATCACTTGCAGAGGTTGTTCAACCCTACAGCTCAGATTGTACTTAACATCACATTATTTTATGACAAGAAAGTAGTTTCTTCTGGCACAGGCACATGGATTGTAAGGATTCCCCATGTGCTGTATTTTGATTTCTTTAAATTAAGTATAACCATAAGAGCATAAGAAATAGGAGCTGAATTAGCCATTCAGGCCTTCACATCTTCCCCACCATTCAATAAGCTGATGGTTAATCTGCCCCAGGCCTCAGCTTCTCTCTTGTTGCAATTCCTTATAGCACTCCACTGCCCCCCAGTATTTCAAAAATCAATCTACCTTCTTTTTAAATACTTTCAGCAATCTCACCTCTGGGGTAGAGGATTCCAAACATTCGTTATCCTTTGAGAGAAGTGTTTCCGTAACACTGTTCTTTGTTTCAAGACTCCCCCACTAGTTGAAGCATCATCTCAACATTTACCCTGTCAAGTGCCCTTCGACTTACAGAATTCTGTATGTTCCTGTAAGATCATTTCTCATTCTTCTAAATTCTAAGGAGTAAAGGCCTATCTGTTTATCTGTAGCATGCATGCCCTACAGTTTAGGATTGTCTGCCTGGTGTTTAATCAAGAGAAGATGAAAATAATATGATATGATGATTCTGTGAGCACGTGATGTAACTCCAAATGTGAAATACTTAATATCTAATAGATAGATGTATTGATTTACAAGTATATGCCATCTTATCCATTTATTTCCTTGTCCTTCCACTTCATCTCCTGTCTTGTTCCCCAACACTCTCAAAACTGAAATTGTCACAGTAATCTTCAAATTAATTGATCTGTTTTCACTTTCAAACATTAACGAGTTCAATTAAAAAGGAGAGGTGTGCAGATAAAAGGGTACAATATTTAACCAATGTTTTTAAATTCTTTGATTTTGTCCATTTTCTTTTTCCTTTGTTCAACAGAATGATTCCTGGAGTGAACTCTACTCTTTTGCACTGTTTAAAGCAATGAGCCACATGCTCTGCATAGGCTATGGTCGTCAGGCTCCAGAAAGCATGTCTGACATCTGGCTAACAATGTTAAGCATGATAGTTGGTGCCACCTGCTATGCCATGTTTATTGGTCATGCGACTGCCCTGATCCAATCTTTGGATTCATCGCGCCGTCAGTACCAAGAAAAGGTAGGATGCTTATTTAAACATTTTCAATGTGTAATAAGATCACAATGAATTAACATTGTCCATTAGATATTGGGATCAGAGCTCTTCACGATGAAACAACATTAATCACATTGCAAATTTTATCAAGCATGCTGTGTGGGTAATGTATGTAATAAGATCATATCGATAAGCTCATATTGCACGTAAGTTGTGCCTTTTGTGACTGAAATTATTGGCAATGTATAGATTGGTAAGTACAAAATAGTGTCATCTGCAAAAAACCCAGTAGTCTCAATCCATTTAAAATGATGGCATTGATTACTCAGAATATTATTTGGAACTTACATTTTATAATAAATTAATGACCTATAACCAACATGGATACTCAGGGGAACAATTGTGCCTGATATTCAGGAAATAGTATCCAAAATAAAAATACTACAATGTATCCAGCTCCTAGAATTGTCTATGATCAGCTACTGCAAGAAAGCCTGTTACTTGAGAGTAAGTGGTTTGAGTTTCAGGGTAAATCTTGGGAAATGACAAGGCAATGACTAGAAGGGCAGGTAACAGGACTTATGGGTATTATTTTGAAATATAGTATATTGCAGGAATTACTGGAAGGATTGATACTGTGGTCTTAGTGTTTTTTTTAACTTATATTAGTGCCTTATCTTTAACTCAATGGAAAGTTACAGATTCATAAACAATACTAAACTGGTGGGGAAACAAATCTATGAAGAGGCAAACAAGCTGCAAAACAAGTTAGGTAAGGTATTAATTGATCAAATGAAATTAAGAGAAATGTGAAACATCGTTGCCTATTTTTCCCTGAGTGCTTCATGAATTAGATCAGAAGACATGACAGTGAGAATGGAAGAGTTATAGGGGCAACTGTGGTCAGCACATCAGAGAAAAAAAAAGTCTTTAACTATACAGTAAAGACATCAGCGTGTGTGTCGGAGGGAGTTGTATATTGATTGTTTCACATTTTTGCTTCCAATTCTGGTTATCGAGACTCTAGGGAGACATTACAAAGTATAACAAAAAATGAACGCATGACTGGCCATTCACGTCAGAAGACTTAGTCATGAGGAACCAAGGCATTTCAAAGACAAAACTATGGAGATATTTATTAAAATATAAAATGATACTTTAACAGGACACTATTAGTATAGTTACCAAATAATTCATGTTACATACTGACACCAGAATTGTAGTGAGAATCTGGAACCTGATCTGACCCTGGAAAGATATCAGTGGGACCCGCTGGAGGGGATAGTCTAACAGCAAAGTTGTTTGATATTATGTGAAGTGTATGCAGATTCATTATGATATGAAGCCTGGATGCAAATATGCTCAATGATTCCTTCAGAGACTTTTAAAAAAAAGACTAGACTTAGTGGCGTTAGAAAAGGTGCAGAAAAGAATCACAATAATGTTTCCAGGGATGTAGAATATCAGTTGGGAAGATAGATTGGAGAAGTGGATTTGTACTCCTTAGAGAAGAGAAGATTAATAGGAGATTTGCTAGAAATGTTCAAATTCAATGGGGCGTTATGGACACAGCTAAGGAGAAATTATCATTAATGGAAGGATTGAAACCAGAGGAAACTTACTGAAGATAATTGCCAAATGAAGCAATAGTGATGTGAAGGAAAACCTTTTTAGGAAATGAGTGGTTGGCATCTCGAATGCACTTACCTGTGGATGTGTCCAGTACAACTCGGCCATTCTTAGTTTAAAACAAAAATCTACTAGAGTCTTAAAAATTTCTTTAAGTTGTGATGGCTCAGAAGTCTCAGACAAGGCATTAAGTCAAGTTGACAAGACACTTTTAGGCAGATTCATGCAAAGCAAACATGAGACTTGGGAATTATTTGAAGAGAAAATATTGTGGAGCCAAGAAGAAAAGGTGGGACTAGGTGAGTTGCTCTTGAAAACCAGTGTAGTCACAGTGGACTGAACAATTCCTCTCTGTTCTGACCATTTTGTGAACGTTTATGATAAGTAGTTCAAAGTTTGACATTACACTGTAATCGTTGCCTGTGAAGATCTTTTGCATATTTGTAACCAAACAATTTCATGGGAGATATTTTATGTCATTGTATGGCTCAAACCCACTCCGCAGCCACTATTTTGAGACTGCTGACATTTTTTAAAAAATCATTCATGGAATGTGGGCATCCCTGCCTGGCCAGCACTTATTGCTTATCTCAGCTGCCCTTGAGAAGATGATGATGAGCTACCTTCTTGAGCTGCTGCAATCCATTAGGTATATTTACAATACCATTATGAAGAGAGATTCACACGTTTGACCCAGTAACACTAAAGGACCAGCGATATATTTCCACATCACAGTGATGAGTGGCTTGGAGGGAAATTGCAGGTAGTGGTGTTCTTATGTATCTACTGGTCTCGTCTTTCTAGGTAGTAGTGATCATGGATTTGGATGGTACTATTCAAGGTGAATTTCTGCAGTACATCTTATAGATGGTACACATTGCTGCTGCTGAGCATAGACGATGGTGGAGGGAGTGAATAATTATGGCTGATGGTGTCAGTCAAATGTGTTAATTTGACTTGGATGGTGTCAAGTTTCCTGAGTCAGAAATCAGATGACATGAGGTTATAGTCCAACAGGTTTATTTGAAATCACAAGCTTTCAGAACATTGCCCCTTTGTTTCACCTGGTGAAGGAGCAACGCTCCGAAAGCTTGTGATTTCCACAAATAAACCTATTGAACTATAACTTCGTGTTGTCTGAGTTCTGACCTTGTCCAGCCCAGTCCAACACCAGCAGCTCCACATCAAAGCTTCCTGAGTGTTATTGATACTGCGTTGACCCAAGCAAGTGGGCAGTATTCCATCATACTCCTCACTCATGTCTTGTCGATAGTGGACAGGCTTTGGGCAATCAGGAGGTGAGTTACTCACTGTGGGATTTGCTCTTGTATATGTTTCTAATCAACCTGCTCATGGCAGGTGATATTGAAAGGCTAACTTTCCAGTCCAGAAGTAGGGACAACACAAATGCACCACAAGAGCCCTTAAATTATTATAAATCAACCTGTTTTGGCATGTTATGACACCCTCTGGTATAGATGGGACTTATGGCTAGTCTGGTTTAGTTTCTGGTCAATGTTGATAAATGATGCATTGTATAAACTTGGTTTTCATAGAGGGGGTGAATAAGATCATAACAAGAAATAAAAGCAGGAGTAGTTTGTTACAGGATTCTATTTGCTGTGTTGCTGTCAATGGACAAATGACATGATCAACTAATGGCTTTTCTGAAAATTTTGTGGAAGCTGGTAACTCATTCTGATGAAGAGCCATCAGACTCAAAATATTAACTCTGCTTTCTCCCCACAGATGCTGCCAGTCCTACTGAGTTTTTGTTTCAGATCTCCACCTTCTGTAGTTCTTTTGTTTTATTTTATTTGGTCCTATTGGTCTGGTTGCAATTAAAATTCCCCAGTAAGATCATTGAGAAATGTTGCCAAAAGCTCAGGGGTTATTGGTGGCAAGTGTATCCAGGAAATGTGCCTTCAGAAGAGGAAGGCGCTGAACAAAGTCAAAAGAAATGAAGAGAAGTCGAAATCAAGTGTTATAATTTTGAAATTGCTGAATCACAGTCTGAAGTGAAACCATTATGTAACATACATTTTTAGAATTTGGGCAATTGATTCACTGTGTGTTATTGTATCTGTTTTTCACTGAAGCCAAAATGAAAGCTCAAATCTCTGACAAGCTTTGGTGATTTAATTGTGCTGTGGTGGCAAGTATGGCTGCCAAATTCTACAGCTAACAGCTAAACCTAAGCCGTGATCACATTTTGTTAGTCAGTAAATTAAGACAGTAAACTACTCAAGAACAGAACTCTCAAAAATGAATATCGGTGCCAAGGTTTCTCAATGGACGATATAACTGATTAAAAATGAAATGGAAAATTGAGAGATTTTGATATCATGCAGTTGTTTAATATTGATTTTCTTCTCATCAGAGACTTGTTACAGGTTTCTGCAAAAAAAAGAGCATTTGCTAATTGTGGGAACAATTCAAACAGTTTTGTATTTGTTTTGCAGCAACCCAATAACAAAGCTTTTCACATTGTAGTCCCTGGTATTTTGGAGGTTCTCAAAGAGATTTTGTAGAAATTGTTGTGGTTATTAAATGGGTGAATTTTTTTGAGGCTAATTGTGGAAGTGGAGGCCCAGTCATTGAGTCTCTTTAAGGCACAGGTAAATAGGCTTTTGATTAGTTAGGGAATCAAAGGTTATGGGAGAAAGCAGGAGAATGAGTTGTAAAAACTATCAACCAGGATTGAATGGCAGAGCAGGATCACCAGGCCAAATGGCCTAATTTTGCTCCAATATATTTTAGTCTTATGGAAGTGGGCCAAAAACCAGGAGGTACTTTCACCGAGGGTGGGCTCGGTTTCATTGTGCAATTATGTTTTGAGCTCATAATATCGTCATCCATGGATGAAACACCAAATTCTATGGGCAAACATGTAGGAGTTTCTGCTCCTGCTTGGAATATCCAGGTGCTATATTTAAAAGACATCTGGATAGCACTATACTCTCTGGCACCCAGGAGGATCACTCAACCTTTTTTTGTCACTGCTACCTACTCCGGAGATGTCAGACACTCAGTAAGAAACAGCAGTCTGATTTATTGGTGCCCTCCCACCACCACCAACAATGGTTCTTCTGAAGGCTGTCCAAGAGAGAAGGAAGGTGCTTTTCTGTAGGGATAGCAACAAGAGACTGTCATAACTGATGAAGGACAGAGGTGGCAGCAGAGGTTGGCACCTGTGGGTGACTCAAGACTGCCTGGCGGTACTGTCACAAGAGGATAAATTGATTCCTGCGCTTTGCCAGGATGTGCACCAGTGCAAAATATTCATGTATACAAGCTGATGTTCCTCAATGTGAGGCGGGATGCTGAGGGGAGTAAATCTCCTCCCCCTCTAAGATCCCACTGAGATGACAGGAGCGCAAGGGGAACGTGCCTGTTCTGAAGCCAAGCTTGGCTATTTCCAGTCATCCAAGCAGCTACTCCCAGTTGCACATCCAGCAGCAAGATCTTCAAAAACCTTCAGTAAGGCAGGTGCCTCATGATGCTAACAAATCTTCGTTTTCCTATCTGGCCTCCAGACACCACTGCCAAGCCAAGACTAAAAGACAGAAAGCCTTAGGCCCCTAGGCCCATCTCAACCTGTAGCTCTCAGCACAGCTCTGAGGAAGGACAGTCATGAACCTCTGTGGATGCACTTTGATTGTATGGGGAGAAAGCAGGAACAGGGTACTCAGTTGGATGATGGAGCAGGTTTGAAAGGCCTCATTTAGGTGTGTTTGGACCATGTGGGAATGCATGCAGAGAGATCTCAGGTCTCTTGCATTTGCCCTGTACATCCTCTGGGAGGATTTATTTTGAAAACTAATTTAAATAAGGATTGTCCAAATGTTTCCTCCCCCCTCTTTACCCTCCCCCTTTACAATACATTTTCTCTCCATCACTGGAAATTGTCTTCTCCTTGCCTGTGGCATTCACTGTCTTTTTTAAAATCGCCTCCTGAGACTTTTGACCTTTTCCCTATCTTCCTCAATATTCCTGCTCTTTCTTCTGATACCACTCCCAAACAGATTCCTATTCCCAGTCTAACCCTGACACTGCCCCTTATTCAGTTGTAATGCTCAATTTCCCTACCCACTGCACCTAGCTGCCCACCCTTAGTATGCAACTACCACCTTCAAGACTAGGTCATTAAGTACATTCATGGCTGAAATAAACAGATTTTTAGTCAGTAAGGGAATTGAGGGTTAAGGAAAAAAAGCAAGAAAATGAAGCCATGGTTTCATTGAATGGTGAAGAGCATCAATAGGCTGAATGGCCTACTTTGGTTCCTACGTTTTATGGTCACCCTTTCTTGTCCTGCTACCCCTCTCCTTTTGATTCTCCCTCTGTTATCCCAGTTTGTTCCCTTCTTTCCTTAGGAGGAAGAACCCAACCTCATCAGTTACATGCAGTATTGCATCCCTCTGCATAGTTTCAGTGGCTGGGATGTTGATGAGTATTCATGACTTGCTAATAAATGTGATAGCTGCCCTGTCTGAAAGCTTCTGAGAACTTATTAACCATACTTTAACTTTCTGTCAGAAAAATGAATTTTTGCCTTCTGCCTTCAAAAAGCTCATCCAATATGCACTATGTGCAGTCCTGTAGAGCCATTGAATAGCAAAGTGAATTATATTAAATTATAATAAAACACTGAATGCACACCACGCTTGCATTTATACTGAAAGAAAAATCTATTGGAGAGTAAAAGATTTGTAATCCTTTAGATGCCTATCCTGCCTGTGAACAAACAAAAAGTATTCTTCGATTATAGATTGCTGAAAGTTTCAATTGTTCTTGAATCAGTAGAGCATTTGCTGACCTGAAGCCATTATTACATTTTGAAACCTAGCCAGACATTCATAATGACTACAGCTGTCTTTACAAAGGCATCAAGATATATTTTCTGAAAATGATAGAATAAAGTGGTGTCCTGTTTCCCAAACAAGGGAAGTGTCAGTTAATCAATGAAGGAAAACAGGTGCAGAAATAATTTTCAAATTTCAAAGGCAGATTTTTTTTCAACAGCCAGAGTTGTTAGTCAATTCAAATCATGCAGAAAACATCATATCAGAGACTGACTGGACATTTAACAATATTTTTGATGCATTACAGCACTTTCTCCAATGGAAAAAGCAATGTAATCTATGAAACATGCGCACATTGGTGTTGAATTCATGTGTCATTCTACCTTGGCAGGACAGATCCCTATAATTGAATCAGTACATTGAAAACACATATTAGAGTACAGCTTCTAGTAGTGATATTTTAAGATGATCAAATATTTTACACTTCACAATGTTCAGGGCTCCTCAGCACATAATCCAGGTTTATTTTTCAATACTGAGTGTGTTGCACTATCAGGCTACTGCCTTCTCAACTAGAAATAAAATATCTCATCTGAAGAAGTGCAAGAGTCTAGACAACTCACTTGACCAATGTGGTGCGAACAGATTACGTGGTCATTTGTCTCATTGCTATTTGTGATACCTTGCTGTATATGACTAAGAAAATGCAATTTCCCTATGTTTCAAAAAAGAATTTCATTTGTTGATAAACAGTGAACAATTTGAAGTGCTCCTTAAATATAAATTGTTTCTAAAATCCATTTCTTTTGATGTGCATTTGTTTAGATTCCTTTGAAATTGGGTGGCAGAAAGAAGTGTTTAGGAACACAGATATTTGCGGGGTTCATGCACAAAATTAATGTTATACACAACAGCCCTTAAAAAAATTCACATTATTTTCTGTGCTAGAATCCCTATTTATTCAATAGTGAGGGCTTAATCGCATTCAGAGAAATGCAAACATTGAAGTTCATAAAATATCACTCAGGTTTGCTGCATCCTGACGATTCATATGTCTCTATTCATGTGAATTTCCAATCCTAATTGATTAGATTTCCTAAAGCCATCCCTTTGTGCCTGGAATACATTAATAATTTTGTGTGATTTTAACAGAACAGTTATTGAATTATGCTGACTCTCTTAACTTTATTCCCTTAAGAGTGAAATTCTATATAGTAATAATTGTGCCTTAGAGTTGCATTGTTTTAAGTTCATGATTATGATTTGCTCTTCTTGGAAAATCTGATCCAATATATCTATTTATATATTTATTTGTACATGTTATCAGAAAAGGATTCCTATTCTTTAAAAGGAAAAAGAAGGGGTGTTGTATAATGGCATAATTCTGGATCAGATGTGCCCCTACCTTTTAGTTACATTACATGGCAACATGTAATGTTCCAGTATAAAGACTCCTGCCCTACCTTCAGCCACTTTCTCTATGTAATCGAGTCAGTGTAGTCAGTCAGTTATGTGTGATGTACAGGAACATTAGTGAACACAGAACCCAGAATCTGTATCTAAACCTATCATATTTTATCCTTTGTAAATAGTCAGTATTGTAAATAAACTTCAAGACATCTGGCTGTCAAAACCCCCATTCTTTATGGTATATGTTACACAGACTACCATGTAATAAACACCAAACTGCATCAATCTTATTGCAAGATATACGGATTCTGAGGGGACTTAACGAAGTGGATGCTGAGTTTTTTCATATGTGAGTCAAGAACTAGGAGGCGCAGTTTTAGAATAAGAGATCTCCCAATTAAAACACATATACACACAAACACACACACACACACACACACATGTGTATGGTGAATTTCCATTCGCAGATTTGTATCTGCAGATACATTCTATTTTGCTCAAAAAGCACACAATTTGTAGGCAGTCAGTCAATGGGGCATTTTATAAATTCCTGCTTTGGAAATAAAACCAGTCTGATTCCAGGTTAAAACACAGATGGATTCTAAACAAGGCCTCACACCTAAAATGCATTGTCTGAGGTGAGATGTCACCTCTTGTATACACTAATAAAACCTTTAGTTATCTCGGGTCAGTGACTTGAAAGAAATTCTGGGATTAATCAATCGAAACCTGCATCTCTTTTCCAATTAAAGATTTAACAGGGAGGAATCAGCCAATCATTTTAGGTTTATTCAATACATTTGCATCTGTTGTATAATCCTTTGATCTTTTACTCATATATTCTGTGTCTTGATGCCTCCTTTCTCACTACATCTGAGGCAGGAGCAACGCTTCGAAAGCTAGTGTTTTCAAATAGACCTGTTGGACTATGACCTGGCGTCGTGTAATTTTTGACCTCTTGAACCACAGAGCTGGCTTGAGGGATTGAACGGCGTATTCTTGTTCCATCTTTTGAATTTTCTTATCTTCTTACGTTCTTAGGTGAGGAGTAGTCTGTTCATGTATTGTTGGCATCAAAGATTTAACTGCAATGAGAATTTCAGGTGATATGAAATTACTTAAATTTGAGGTATTTTTAAAACAATTTATGTTTGTAAATATTTCTGTAAATGGCATTGATAGAATTTATTCTGTGTCTTATATTAATATGATTGATTAATTGATGTAATAGTGGCTGAAGATGCAGTTTTTGATTGATATGGTGTGAAAGTGGGGAAGAGGGATTAATTTGACCCTATAAAGAGATAACATTGTGTGACTAACTTTGGAGGAGAATGTCAGTCGGTGAATTTTCTGCCAAAGGATGAGCTCGTCTGAATGGCCTCCTTCTACATAGTAACTTTCATTGGAAAGTAATTCCAATTACGACCTAATCTGAACTTTCCCTTCATCAAGAAGCCCTAGAGTAAGCAATGTGAAAATCCCTTTAAAGTGGGGCTGACACAAAAGCATTTGATTAAGTGTGTGGGAGGGCGGGGGGAGAGAGAGAGAAGCACAGTTCAATGCTTGTGTACTGTGTGCTAAATACTAGATCAGTCAAGCAACACAAAATGGTTTATCATGATATTAAGATGCTTGTTAGGTGATTGATACACAGCAAATAGATCTGCATTATTTACTCTTCTGATTTTGTCAATTTCAAAGACTAGGCTAATTGACAGTGAACTTTATGCTGTCAGGCTGTTGTGTAATTAAGTGTGCTAAACCAATAAAATTTACAAATCTGTATTAAAAATGACTGGTTATTCTAATGCTAAACAGTTAAGGGCCAGATATGTAATTACACAGTTCTAGCTTATCAAGTGTGCAACGTATGCCGCAGGACAATATATAACGTATACATTGCCGACATCCAATTATCATTAGATGGACCACATGACATTTGGTTAGTCTTCTATCTTATCACCTAACAGGATAAGTGTGCAAGCAAGAAAAATAAATATCCATGGAACCAAGTTCCCTGGGCTTCAAGCGTTAAAAGTGCTATTGCTGAGGAACCACATCTGGCCTGTGAGCTACACTTTAGATACCTGCCCATCTCGGATCATGCTGGAGCATAGATTTGCTTTCAGGCTGGCAAGGATTTACTGTATTCTGTTAACTAACTATTCCATTAGATAAATGTGATGTGTTGCATTTTGGTAAGGTAAATCAGGGCAGGACGTATACAATTAATGGTAGGATCCAAGGGAGTGTTGTGAACAAAGAGACCTTGAGTGCAGGTTCATAATTCCTTGAATTTGGAGTCACAGGTAGATAGGGTAGTGAAGAAGGCATTTGGTACGCTTGTCTTTATCGGTCAGTGCATTGAATATAGTAGTTGGGATATTATGTTGCACCTGTGCAGGACATTGGTTTGGCCACTTTTTGAAAACTGCATTCAATTCTGGGCTTCCTCCTACTGGAAAGATGTTGTTAAACTTGAAAGGGTTCGGAAAAGATTTACAAGGATGTTGCTGGGATTGGAGCGTTTGAGCTATAGGGAGACACTGTTTAGGCTGGGGCTATTTTCTCTGGAGCATTGAAGGCTGAGGGATGACCTTATAGAGGTTCATAAAATCATGATGGGCATGGAGAGGGTGAATAGCCAAGGTCTTTTTTCCATGGTGTGGAGGTGCCGGTGGACTGGGGTGGACAAAGTCAGAAGTTACATGGCACCAGGTTATAGTCCAACAGGTTTATTTGAAATCACACAAGCTTTTGAAGCACAGCCCCTTCGTCGGGTGCAGTGCATGGTAGGGGATTCCAAAACTAGAGTGCATACATTTAAGGTGATAGGGGAATGATTTATAAGGGACCTAAGAGGCCAGAGGAAGTGGTGGAGGCTGGTACAGTTACAACATTTAAAAGGCGCCTGGAGGGTACATGAATAGGAAGATTTTAAGAGAGATATGGGCCAAATGCTGGCAAATGGGACTAAATTAATTTAGGATATCTGGTCAGCATGGATGAGTTGGACCAAAGGGTCTGTTTCCATGCTGTACATCTCTATGACTCTCTGCCTGTACAACTCACCAGGAACTTCAAATTGTTTCCCACAAAGAAAAGGTGAACTACTGTTTATTACTTGTCACTCCATTTCTGTTTGTGGCAACAGATGACACTTATTTTGCTTTGGTTTCCAAGTACAAATCCAAACCAAGTATAGCAAATATGGACATTGAATGTACAAATATCTATGAAATGTCATTTCAGTTTAACTTGAAGAAAAATTGTCTTTTAAATGAGAAATTTAGTGCATTTGATTGGTATTTGTTTCCGAATATGTGTTGCATTCAGCTGTACCATGACCTCAACTGGGAGATAGAAATTAACTAATTGGAAGAAGCACAATACAATTTTAAAGAAACAGGCTTATTTTGAGAATCTTGTCACCTGTGGTTTTAAATAATAAGCATATGCACATTGGCACTCTGGATTTTGAAGGAAACAGGAGTTGGCCAGTGCATTACAGAGCCTGTATTTGATATTCCCTTGTGCTGTGCCAAGTGGGGAGCAGAATGAAAATGATCCCTTAGTGCAGTGTACTAAATTAGCCTCGTTAGCTGACATTTGGCTGTCATTCTTAAAGGTTGCTTATCTGGAAAGTTCAGTATACTATTTACGGTGAAGTACATTAATGTTCCCTTGAGCTGAATGCTGTAAATCATGCTGGTGCATTGACTTTCAGCCATCATCACACAGGGCATAATTTAATCTCAGTATTTTGTTTGAGCACATTATGTGCTCCGAATTTGCTTCAATTATGTGACGTGCACATCTGTTACAAAGTGGGAATAGTTTACTCAACCATCAAAATTCCAGAATTGTATCGCAAGAATCCCTCTTGGACTAGCATCCTTTGGCAGAGTTTAGGTGCAGAAATCCCTGTGAAAATTTGTCAGTTATTTCATAGTAACATTGGCACAGATCCTAATACCCTTGAATGAATGTTGTTGCCTGCCAATGATAGAGTGCTAACACAAAGTGGCAACACAGCAGAAAAATGGCCCAAAGTCATAAAAAAAAGACAGCAGGGGTAAGACATTGGGCTTATTAAAGATGCCTGTCCTTAAAGAGCCATTAGCGTCCTTGGAACTTCCGCAATTGTGACACTCAAACATTTGGGTAGGTCACGCTTGTAATGGTGCAGCTACACTCAGTAAATATCATCTGGAAGTACGCAACACCCTCAGTTCATTTCTCTGATATCTGCACTGGGGCAAGGCAAGAACCATATTATGTGTGTCTGTGAAGGTATCACTGTCAATTAAATGTTATGTTTGTATCTCCTTCGAGACTACAGTTGGAGCTATCTGCAACATCCCACAGTTGGCATAAATTATTGCATACGGGAGGTCACTGACCAGGACTGTAGTGCCAAATTATACGGCTCAAGAGCTCTTTAAAAAAAATGTCTTGGCCATATCATTTCCAAAATGATTACATTTGTCTTCCTAAGTATCATCATTTGAATCCCCAAATTCAGTGATAAATGAAATGTTTAAAAAAAACTTCAAGTTGTAATCTGTGCCTTATTCTAACAATAAAATGTCAATCTCTTAACTCTCCCTCATTCACCCTGTCTCTCACACAATCGAGGAAGCAGTAAGGTCAGGTGGTGATATGGGAACGTAGAAGGTTTAGAGAAATATATTTGGAACCAAAATTAATGTGACCTATGGAGGCAGTAAAGCCTGAACATATATTGGAGGAGGAAGTTGCTGAAGGCCTTTTGATAAAATCTCCAATCCTTCTACCTGCTAATCCGAGGCTTCAGTAGCACATAAGAATCTGTTTGTTAATGGTATTGTCAAATTCCAATGGAGCCAATATCTGGTCTAAGTCCCAATACCACAGCCCAAACTGGAGAGAGAACCAGAAATATATATTCTAATCACAAGACCCTGCAATCAGTGAATGAGGGAATGGTAAGGTGTGCCTGCAGGGGGCGCTAAGCTAGTGTTCTGTGAAAATGGAGTTGGGGATTGGAGAAACACAGTGCACAATTCAATATCTAGACAGTCATTGGCTATTTTTCAGAAACTTGCCTCATAACACCAATGAAAGTGAGCTGAAAGAATTTTTCACAGGATGCAACAATGTGGTAGAGCTTGTTATTAACAAGAACAGGAACTGGAAGGGGTTGGGAAACAACCTAAGACAAGGATCTGAGCTTGCGTGCCATTTGGGGAGGAGAGTTGGAGGGGTAGTGAGATCAGGCACCAAACATTTTACCTCGCAGAACCACCAGCCTTCTGTGACATGTTGCTTGCCATTTTTGTCTTGGTGAACAACCATTCATGTAATTCAAAGATCTTTCATGACGTCTTTGAACTTTGCTGGTAATCCTATGGAACTGTTAGTGTATTTTAACAACTGCCTCATTCGTCATGTGCCCAGACACACTTACTTATTTTGCTCTGTTTTTTTTTCCCCAATCTCCTCCTGGACTGCCCCAAACTGAAATTCTACTCAGTTTCTTCGTAGCTATGTCTACAGCACTGAGCTTCCAGAGTTTTCTCTTGCATGCACAATACCTATGGTGGATTCGGAGACAAATTAAATGATGATATTTACTTGGTAGAAAAACTTTTGCCACAGCCTGCACACAAGTGTGATACCTCAAATTAGTGAACAAGTTGTAGTTGAAGTTCCCATGGTATACTATCAATCAGGGCTCTGTTTCCTTTTTTGTTCTATGAGCTCTTTGTAAGACATTCTTGAGGGTAACTTCTTGATTTTTACGGGATCTTCTATCATTCTTATTAATTTCTTTATTCAGATGACACAGCAACATGTAACACTACTTTATTCATTTGTGCTAAATTTATTTAAGGGGTATACTAATTTGGATAGATATGGTAGCACAAATATCAAAGATTGCATACAAACATACACATTAAATATTTTAACTTGGAATGTATAAATGCTATGTTTTGTTAATTTATCATAAGTCTCCCATAATCTGTTTCCAAAAATGGCATCACATCATGGAAAGATCCACACTGATGTAGTTAATGTTGAATGATTCAAATTTTAGTAT